GGAGTGATTCGAATCACGAGTTTAGAAACAAGTTTTCTCTACTCTTGATATTGATCATCAAGGTAATCCGTTCTAAAACTTTTCCTTGGGTTGATTCCATACTTGTTTTCGGGGTTTTTGGGATTGAGTTCTATGGGTCTTGTTCGTTAGCAAGGTTCTTAGATCCAACTCTCAAGGGTTTCTTAACAAGAACGGATTACCTTGATGATCAATATCAAGAGTAGAGAAAACTTGTTTCTAAACTCGTGATTCGAATCACTCCACAAGAGGTATGATCAACACCGCTTGAATGATCCTAACATGCAAATTCTAAAGACACAAGAAATTGCACAAGAAATGGGAGATAAATCTCTCAACCAAGTTAATGAGAAAACTCACTTTTCATTCCACTTCAAAAATGTGTTACAACAAGACATCTCAAGGCTATATATAGCCATCCTAGCAAGCCATATGAAAAGTCTTAAGCAAATGAAAAGACTTGTAACTTACAAGAAATGAAAAGACTTGTAACTTACAAGAAATGAAAAGACTTGTAAATGAAAAGACATAACTTACGAGAAATGAAAAGACAAGCAAATGAAAAGGTTAAGAACATGGAAAGCCAACCAAAATAATTGCAATCCCGTCCATAATGAGGGATGTGAGTGTTTGACTTGGTTTTTGAATTGAATGAGTTGACTTTGACTTGTCTTGATGGAGTTGACTTTGACTTGTCTTGATGGAGTTGACTTTGACCTTGACCAAGTGGACTTTAACTTGCCATAAAAACACTTAAAAATGCATAACTTGCACCAAATTGAAGTGCATAGTTCTAACTTCTTGCACATCTTCCTTTATTTCTCTTGTCGAGTTCAAGAACGCTTGGACATGAAGTAGCAAAGCTTGTTGAAGTTTCTTAGCTCTCGATCTTGTAATCGGTCCATGAGGCATAACAACGGTAGCTCCTTGGTTCATATCAGACAGGCAAACAGAATTGATGAAGTGGTGGACCGAAAATTGAGCCATTGGGCCAAGTCGAGCCCAGCGTTCCCTATTCCCTCCATCAATCCGTTACAAGTCAGCCTCATTCCCCCCGACATCCGTTACAAGCCTCCTTCCCGTCGTCATTCGTTACAAGTCACATGGTGAAAAAACCCTAGAGGAGTCGAACAACTATAAGGAGTGGGGTGAGCAAACCCTAGAGGTAAGCAAAAAAGAGAATAGTGACTTGATACTAAGGGATTTCGTTCATTGAGCTGACTTTGGCATCAGAGTCTGTGTGACTAAGGTTGCACCGGTTTAGTCTAATTTGAGTTTTGCAGGTCCCTGATCATCGAAGTTGTTGCAGATCCCGAGGCAATTTGCATCAGAATTGTCCACGCATCAACAATTGGTGCCATCTATGGGGATATGTAATCCTACAACCAATCATGACTCCGAAGAAAAGTCCACAACGCTCTGATGACGATTACCATCCAAGGAGGAGGCTAAACATGGATGACCTTCAACTAGGAGGATCTGGAGATGGAACGAGCCAACTAGGAGACCAAGAACTGCTCGAGATTCCTGTTACTGCCGTTCCAGAGCAACTCTAGAGTAAGTTTACAGCCCTGGAAGAAAAGGTGGAAAACATGTTTCAACGCATTACCCAACTACTCAAACAATTAGAACAATGGGTGACAGATTAATCACCTCTTCTTAAGGAACCCCAAAAGGGAAAGGGTCCTATACCCAGCGAGGTTAAAGAATCGACAAACAACGCGTAGAGCAGATTGAGGCTGGGAGGAAACGACAAGAGACGCACCCGAATTCTCGACTGTCGAAGTCCACAGAAGGACAAAAGGCAAACAAAGTCCCCAGTGCAGAATGAAGGCAAATGCGACCAGAATAGCCCAGATCTCGAGTCATTAGATTTTGACAAGGAGAAACCAGTGGAATGACCCGAGCCGTCAGAAAGACAATTAGGTCAGAAAGAAAAGGGATTTGATCTCGAAGAGGTACTAGACCAAGTTGATTCGCCATTCACATAAGATATCATAGAGGATAAGGTACCTCCAAAATTCAAACTACCAATTGTAAAGCAGTTTGACGGGTCGGTCGATCCGGTAGATCACCTCGATGCCTATCGAGAATGGATGGATATATATGGAGTGTCGGAAGCAATACGGTGCTGAGTGTTCTCCTCCACCCTTAGAGGTCAGCCATAGTATGGTTTCGACAACTAAAACGAGGTTCGATCTCCAACTTTAAAAGTTTGGCAAGGGCATTCGTGACCCAGTTTGTGGGAGGACAAAGTCGAAGCCGACCTGTGGCCTACGTTCTAACAATCAAGTAGAGAACAATAGAGAGCCTTCACGACTACGTTGCTCGGTTCAACGAAGAAAAGCTACAAGTCGAGGGCCTAATTGATGCGGTGTCCCTACYAGCATTCATGTATGGAATAAAGGATGAGCACTTGTCATTCTCGTTCAGAAAGAAAACCCCGAGCACTTTTTCGAAGGCTCTGAGTCGAGCCCAAAAATATATAAGCGCGGAAGAATTCTTCCATTCAAAAAAGGAATCTAAAGGAAAGCGGTCCGACCAGAAAAGGGAACGGACAGGAGATAAACTATAAGGATCAAGGTGGGAGAAGCGCGATCGAACCAGCCAGAAAGAACTACCCCAGAAATTCGAGAAGTACACTCCCACGATAGTCCTACTCGATCAGGTATTAATGGAAATCAAGGACCAGAAGCTACTCTGGTGGACAGAGAAAATGAAAGCACATTCTAGTAATAGAAGCAAGGGGAAATACTGTCTCTTCCACCGAGACCACGACCACGCCACCCAAAACTGTTTTGAACTCAAAGAAGAGGTGGAGGGACTCATTCGGAGAGGATATCTCAAAGAATATGTGGAGAACCCTAAAGCAGCCTTAACTGAAGAGAATGACAGCAAGTCACATGACAAGGAAATCTGAACGATTATGGGTGGTCCAATGGAGTCTGGTCGGAAGAGAAAGGTCAGTGTACGAGAAGTAATGACAAGTCAAGATCAACACAAAATATACCATGCCTTTAAAGTAGGACCCCCCTCAAAACTTGAATTCTCAAAAAATGAAGCAAATCACCTCTTCCATCCACACAATTACGTGCTAGTCACTTCTCTAAAAATAGCCAACACAAAGGTGCATCGAATTTTAGCGGATGGGGGTAGCTCAACCGACATCATCTCTTTAACAGCTTATAAAGCTATGGACCTAGGGGAGAAGTTGCTTAAGAATAGACCCACACCCCTAATAGGGTTTGGGGGAGAGCGAGTCATCCCAGAAGGGAAGATTGAGTTGCTAGTGACATTTGGAAGTGGGCTAAGAAGCATCATCAAGATGATAGAATTTTTAGTTATCGACTATGCATCCTCTAACAATGCGATATTGGAAAAACCGACCATACATATGCTGAAGGTAATACCATCTACACATCACCAATCACTGAAATTTCCAACGTTAGGGGGCATCGGAGAGATTAAGGGGGAACAGCTGATATCTCGTGAATGTTACTACACTTCTTTGAGAGGCAGTTTTGAGGAACGAAAGTCTCCTCCTTTTAAAGAGCCAGGAGCTATAGGATAGAAGCAATTTGGTTAAAATTCCTTTCTTTTTTGTTCTCTAAAAAAAATCTTGTTATGTTTTAATTCAAGTTTTCATTTTTAATAAAGCTTCTGTTATCCATTTACTTGAGATATTTCTTATCTACATATGCACTCCTCAAGTAGGGGGCATACATGTTCTAAGCCTGAGAAGGGCACAGTGTAGGCTGAATGACAAGTAGTCGAGGAGGGCTCGGTACCGAGCCTAGGTCGGCACTCTCACCTTCTCGGCACTCATCATAGCAGCATACTAGCCGACAGAAATTTGGAATTTCAACTTATTAAAGTAAACCATCCACTATGAAAAAATTGGGAAAGGAGCTAGATAATTTATTGATAATTCCAAATTTAGCTACAAATAAAGGTAAGAAAGTAGCTGCAAATAAAAGATAATTCTAAATTTAGCTACAAATAAAGGTAAGAAAGTAGCTGCAAATAAAAGTAAGACATCAATATAACATAAAAGCAATCAATGCAGACAAGATGGTTTTCCACCAAAGTGCTATCGACCCTCCTACCCATCGGTATCTTCGTCATCCATGTCCTCAGTGGCACTACACTGGCTTTAAAGCGCTCCTGAAGAAAAGAGTAATCGATGATCGGATGCTCTCTGGAAACTTGGTGAAGAGACTAGGATACGCCACACTCCATTGTGGCGTTCTGCAGATCAACATACTCCTGCGTTTTCCTGAATTCCTCGGCCAAGAATTTAGAGTTGTAGAGTTGAGCGTTGGCCTCGTCAAGCCTCCCTTGCAGGTTAGCAGCTCATCTCGGGATTTTCTCTTATTAGTCTCCAGCTCACGACAAGCGCCCTCCAATAGGCCATTGGCCTGATCCAAGGAGGAGAGGGCCCGATCCAATTCCTCCCGAGGGGCATAATGATGGTGTAGGTGGTTGATTTCATTGGCAACCCAACCCGAGAACACCACCAGACGATTAAAAACCTACCAAAGTCAGGAAAAGACGTTAGGTAAAAACGCTACAACTAGTATTTAAAAACTGCAGATATTCACCTAGTGGAGGTCGCTAAGGCATGCATTGATGATGTGATGATGATTCGACAAGCCAAAATCCGACCCACTCGACGATTCTCCGAGCCCCTGCCAGAAGCCAAACACCCTTTCCAGGTAAACTGCCCCGTCGACATCAGCGCTATATGGACTGAAAAACGGGAAGGTTAAAGCGTGGGAGGAAGACCTTGGGTGGCCGCGAAAAGTAGAGGTAGTAGGCGTCCCTTATAACCGAGCAGAACGCCGAGGTGCTGCAGAGGGCATTGGAGGTCGAGCCTGCCGAGATGGAGGGCCTCCTCTATTAAATCGGTCACCTAAATGTCTGAAGCCCAACTAGAGCCGGCCCCCGAGCTCGGAGCATTTCGACAGTGTTCTCTTTCATACAAGGAAGTGCTTCGTCTCGGCATTTCTACAAGTACAGATAAAAGTCAAAATTGACTTTCGCACAAAGCGAAGAAAGGATCTCGATGATTACCTGGAGGATTATGAGGAGGAGTCAAGCCAAAGTCCACTAAATTATGCTCCTTAACTAGATCCGGGCCTTAACGCTCGGTATCTGGTAACTGGATGACAGTATGATAGAAATTGAACGTCTCGATGGTAAGCTCACAATTACGAGGAACTATGAACAAAGAAAGAGAAATATCAGAATAGATGTCTATAGAAGTCCCGGTAGTGCTTGGGAATCTACTTACCTAACTCCTTACACTCAAGTATAATCCTCCCTCATCACGGGCTAGCCAATCGCCACCAACAAGGAACCAGTCGTCCTTCTAATGCTTCACTGAGGAAGGACCCATAACAAGAACTTGGTTCCAAGAACTAACATAGAAGTGAAAATTATCCTTGGTACTGTGTTTGAGGTAATAAAGCGACATGAAATCCGCAGCGGTTAAAGTTTGCTCGTCCGGAGGAACGACCACAAAATAAAGCAACTGATCAAAGTAGACCACTCATTTGGAACAATTTGGGAAGAAGCTACTTGATTAAAAGCTAAAAAATATTGAAGAAAAAAAGGCAACGGTAGACGAACTCCAAATTGGAACATGACTGCATAAAAAACAACCTCTCCACTAAAAGACCCATCAATACTTTCACCCGGATTCAGAAGACGAAGGCTAACCGAATCTAGAATGTGATACTTTGAACGCAAGCGACGAAGGTCCCACGTCGTAAGAGTTGAATTATCCACCCAGTACGGACGATAGGGTCGAGACTCAGATGAAGGATTTGATGACGACCCATCATCTGAGGAAGTCCACTCAAAATTTAGACCATCATTGGACGTCATGAGAATAAGGCAAATCAGAAAAATGAGGATGAAACAAAAAGTTTACCTTGAAGGAAAGGAGTGATTGAAATTATAAGGTGTAGGGGGTTTATATAAGTCCCGAAGGAAGGAAGAGTGCTCGACCAGTGGTCCTTAACCACTAGGCCGCGAACTGCTCGGCTCGCCTCCCAAAGTGACCATTAGTTAGAGACCGGCTCGTCACAGTCTCGGAGAGACCCGTGACCTTCTCGGTCATGGGTACGATGTGACACAGCAAAGGAGTAAAGACAAAAGTTGTTTGACACACTGCACGAGACACCCATCATCTCCTCGATCAAAGGGAAGATTTGACACAACAAAGGGAAAAAGCCAAAAGTGGCTCCGCACACTGTTCAAAGAACCTATAACCTTCTTGGTCAAAGGACAAAAAATGAAGACCTCTTTTTATCTTTGGTCTCGGGTTATGCAACGCATGGGAAACCACGAGTTGATGTGATAACACCTACACGGGAACCCATATTGTCTGGCTTGACGGTCGAGGAGGAGTAACTATGTTTCAGACACTCTTACTCTCAAGGAGATAAAAATAAATGCTAAAAAGCATCACCTTGAGAGTAGGGGCAACTATTATAGGAAGAAAAACCAACATACAAACAGAATTGATGAAGTGGGGGACCGAAAATTGGGCCATTGGGCCAAGCCGAGCCCGACGTTCCCTATTCCCTCCATCAATTTTTAAAAGAAAACAAATTAATAAAATAGTTCCTAATCAATTTAGGATTATGTTTCCTACTTTGATTATATCTGTTTATTTACAAAAGATCCTAAAAATTCATAATTGAAGCATCCCGCCATAATAATTGTGTCTGTATTTATCCGTTGAGTTCTCCTCAATTTGGTGAAGTCCGCATTATCCACTAAAATTGTGTTTTTAAATTATTATTCTTGAATATCTTCAATCTGCCATAAAATGATAAATTATAATTAAATTCAAATATTTAAACATAATAAATTAATAAAATATATAAAATATAGGTATCTTTTTCATCTTACCAATTTCCTTTCAAGTGAAGAAATAGTGGGGGTCAAAATCATGGACAAACTTCTACTAATTCTCTAGTTGAGTTGAGGAGTAAAAGAGCTAGAATTGTGAAAGATTTTGGTCTTGATTTTTATATTTATAATGTGCAAGAAACACCAGTTATTTACAATAAGCTTTATCATTTTCGATGCAATTTTCTAGAAAGAGGATGTGAATAATGACACAGAGTCACTAATTTCTAATAAGATTTGGAAATTAGTTGATTTACCATGAGGTTGTAAAATCATAGGGTGTAAATGGGTCATGAGAAAAAAGCTGAAACCGGATGGTAGTATATACAATAATAAAGCTAGACTTGTTACAAAAGATTTTAAACAAAAAGAAGATATAGACTTTTTCTATACCTTCCCCAGTTACTATAATCACATCCATTAGATTGTTAATAGCAATTGCTACAATTTTTTATTTGAGTATTCATCAAATGGATGTGAAAATAGCTTTTTTAAATGGTAATTTTGAAGAAGATCAAATTTATATGGACCAACCTGAAGGTTTTATGGAACCAAAAAAATGAGAACAAAGTGTGTAAGCTTACTAAATCCCTGTATGGTTTAAAACAAGCCCCAAATAGTGGCATGAGAAATTTGATTCATACATGCTAAATAATGGTTATAAACAAAATGAATGTGATAAATGCATATATTACAAATCATGGAAAGATTCACACGTTATTATTAGTCTTTATGTTGATGATCTACTAATTTTTGGCCCAAATATTTTTGTCATAAATTATACAAAAAATTTACTGAGGAGCCATTTTGATATGAAAGATCTTGGTAGGCTAATTTTATTCCGGGTATAAAAATAACTAAAATGTCTTATAGGGTTTTTCTTGACCAATAACATTATATTGAGAAAATACTTAGAAAGTATAATTATTTTTATTGTAAACATGTGCCCATTCCGTTTGATTCAAGTGTTCACTTGTTTCCCATTGAAAGTGAAAGTGATGTAATAAATCAAAAGGAGTATGCTATAGTCATTAGTAGCCTACGGTATGTAACTGATTGTATGAGACCTGACATTGCATATATAATAGGAGTTTTTCTTTTTTAAGTCTATTTCTAACGACATAGGAATAAAGATAGGCTATGATTGAATTATTCGTAAACAATTGCAAGCTTTTTTTTAGCATAAAGTAATTGTAAATTTATCTCATATAAAGAAAATTGGAGGACTTTAGACCTCCCTTTGAAATTTTGTTATGAGTTATTTTCAATATATCAATATTTTGGCATAGAATAAAAACAACCAAAATCAAAGACAATGTAAATTTGGAAAATCTTAGCCCAAATTACTCAAATTCTTATTATGTGTTCGCCAATAAGCTCTTTTAGTAAAAATGAGAAGTAGTCATTCCTTTCATTAACGAGGCATCTCTGTTTAGCTAGTTTTTTTTTTTTAAGTATTTAGCATGTTAATAAATGCACCTACCATTATTGATAAAGAACCCTAGTACAATTGATTATAAGAAATCTTAATAGAATTAGAACCCTTATAAAAGAGAAAACTAAAATCCAAAATTCAAGTTGTATCAACCCAAGGAAATCTATAACGATTTACCTTGATGATTAATATCAAGAGTAAAGAAAACTTGTTCC